AAGGCCACGCGTCATATGTCGGCCTGCAGGGCAGCGGACGCCCAGCGTCGTGCGCAGGCGCTTGGGTTGACCCGCGACGTCACAGACGACTCGGACAGCGAACCTCCGCCACCACGGGATATCAGTGAAGAGGTGTGGGCCGCAGTTCCCACATGGGACTGGGAGTCGTTTTTTGGGATTGAATTGGTGCCAGGGAGAATCATGCGTCGCATCCCACAGCGCGCAAGACTGGGGGTGCTTGATGCACTAGCTTGTATCCTGAAGCGGCTCCAGTCAAAGGCAGCAGACGAGGCGGCATCCTTGGTGTTTTTGGCCTTCCCTCGTCTTTTCCTGGGGTTTCCAACTGGGCAAGGCCAAGGGCAGAGGGCGGCAATTAGGGAGCGGTTGGAGAAGTTTTGGGCTGGGGAGTGGCAGCAGCTGTTTGAGTTGGCGGTGGCGGCGATGCAACCTGCGGCTCGCCCCTTGTCCTTCACCCCACCCGAGCATGATCCTGATGCAGTGCGCCTGTCCCGCTGCCGTACAAGGTGCAAAGTGGGAGAATGGAGTCGGGGTTTGGCGTGCCTTACGGCTGGTAGCATCGCTCAGCCCTCTCAGCACATGGTGGACGCGCTACGAGCGAAACACCCATCGTGCGAGTCCGCCATTCCTGGGTGGGTGCAGGAGGAGACAGTCGAGCCTTCCCTTATCCCACAGCTCTCAGTGGAGGTACTCGGTCAGCCAATCCACTCAGCGGCTAGGGCGTCCGCACCAGGACCGTCGGGGTGGGTGACGGAGCACCTGCGCGACACTTTTCTCTCTGAGCCCGCGTACCTGCCCCATCTGCTAGAGGCCTTCACCCAGTGGACCAAGGGAGAGGTAGCGGAGCGCGTGCGACCCTGGCTCACTGCGTCCAACCTGGTGGGCCTGTCGAAGCCGAATGGTGACGTTCGCCCGGTGGCTATAGGCGAGGTGCTCCCCCGCATACTATCTCGGGCCATATGCATCGTGCTTCGTCCGAAGATGATGTCGCACTTTGCTCCGTGTAACCAGTTTGGAGTCGGGTCCAGGTCGGGAGTGGAAGTCCTCGCACATGCCTTTCGCTCCGCCATCTCTACTCACCCGTCGTGGTGCGCGCTGCAAATTGACGTGGCGAACGCTTTCAACTCCTTCCATCGGCGGGAAATGTTTGAAGGTCTTCGACAGTCGCCTTTCAAGGGATTGATTCCATTTCTGCGTGTCTTCTATGGCACTCCTAGCGACCTCTATCTCCGTGCGGGCCCTTTTGTCGAAGCTTTGGCCTCCGAGCGGGGCTCGAGGCAAGGGGACCCATTGGGTCCGTTTCTGTTCGCGTTCACACAGCAGCTGGTTATGGAACCAACCAAAACAGAGTTCGCCGACTTACTCTTCCTCAGCTATGCTGATGATACGTATATCCTGGGGCCTAGGGAGCGGGTTTTAGCAGCCTATGAGGCCTTGCGGGAACGATTGGACGGGCTGGGTTTGGAGGTGCAGCCGCATAAGTGTAAGCTATGGGAGCGAGGGAGGAACCAGGATGGGGAGGAGAGAAATGAGACCGTCCCGCCCGGCATGCAGCAGACATGGACGGGGCTCACTGTGGTAGGGGTCCCCATTGGGGAGGAGGACTGGGAGGTGGCTAGCCTGCGTCGCCGGCTGACGGAGCTGCATGCACCTGTCCCTTGGCTTCCTCTGCTTGACCACCCACAGATTGCGTCCCATTTGCTGGCGATCGCAGTGTCAGCGCGCCCGATTTACCTCACACGGACGATGCCTCCACGACCTGAGGTTGTGGAGGCTTTTCGGGACTGGGACACGAAGCTGGAAGATTGTTTCGAGGAGCTGTTTCCAGATAGTACCTGGGATCACGATTCGGGGAAGTCTCAGATGGCTCGTTTACAGCTGCACCTTCCTGCCAGACTCGGGGGGTTCGGCATTCGATCTGCGGCTGACCTTAGTCCTCTGTCGTATGCATGTGGCTGGTGCCAAGCAGTGAGCGATGTGGCTCGGTTGGGGGTGGCAGGTGAGGAGCGGATGTTTGAGGAGTTTTTCCGCACGCCCGAGGCTACGACCTTGTTGGACCCCTGGTTTGCGAGAGCAGTGGATCTGCTTCCACAGTCGGTCCGGCAGGAGATGCCACCCCTTGCCTTGTGCACTGCTGACCCCCCTGTGCTGCTCTTCTCCACACAACACCGTCGCCTAGCGGTTGAGAGCCTTCAATCTCTTCGAGGCATGGCCCACAACGATGCCACCTTGGCCCGTTTGACATCCCTTCAGGGCCCGGGGGCTGGGGCGTGGGTTTCTGCCGTTCCTTCGCACGAGGAGGCTACCTTCACTGTAGCCGAGTGGAGCGTCTGCGCGTCCATGCGCTTAGGCCTCCCTATACAGCAGCTGATAGTGGCCGGCAAGTGCGCGTGTGGGTTTGAGTTTGCTGATCCCTCTGACCCGCATCATGCCCTTCGCTGCAAGTATCAGTATGCACCTTCTCGTGTTCACGATGCGGTTAAGTTTGTGGTGGCGAAGATAGCTAAGGGTGCGGGTGGGATTGTGACCATGGAAGACGACACGTTGCTCCCAGGGAAGAGGGTTGATGTGGCGGTTCGGAAACTGAGGGAGGGGGAGGAGCACGCGCTGGAGGTTAGTGTGGTAGACCCTATCTCGCTATCCGCGCAGCACCATGGACAGATTGGGCGCAAGGTGGGTTTTGCCGCGAGAGAGAGAGAAAAGCGGAAGGCGGCGGACTACAAATCGCTTCTACAGCGGCATAGGGGAGTGCAGTTCACACCTCTCATTGCTGAAACATGGGGATGCTTGGGGGGGAGTTTTGGACGGTGGCTTAAGAAGCAGGGTGACGCGCAGATCGAGATAGCAAAGACGAAAGGGGCGGCGCGAGCTACGGGAAAGGGTTTCTCGGCTTATTTGCTCGGTTCACTCAAAGCGGCCGTGGGTGTGGCTTTGCAGCGGGCTCAGGCGCGTGTGATCTTGTTACGCGCGGCGTCGATGATGAGAGGTCCAGAGGCTGTTTGGGTGGAGCGGGAGGATGTTGAGGAGGAGATGGGATGGGATGCTCCGTGGGCGGATGCACCCTACTTGGTAGACATGCGGGTTTAGAGGGTGGGTTTAGGGGGGGTTTTGGTTCGATGGGAGTGCAGTTGGGGTGTTTTGATGGGATGGTTAGATGGGGTTTCAATTGTGTGTGCTATTGGGGTTTTCTTGAGGTTGCGTCTTGTGTTTTTTCTTCCTTTTTCCCGGTTTTTCTTCCTCCTACCGTTTTCTCCCTATTCCCTTCCTTCTTTCTTCTTCTTTCCTTTTTTCTCCTCACGTTATTCCTCCTTTCCTCTTCTCTTCCTGTTCCCACTCAATTTCCTTGCGTAATTGTGCTACAATGATAATGCCATAACCAGAAGGCATGTTGTTTTGTGTACATTCCGCTGTGGACAGCGTCCCAATCGATGTGTCCCAATCGATTCTACCGCACTGCATCTTATTACACCGAATTACACCCTAGTTTCAAAATTTTCGCTTCTCTGGTTTAGTTCGGTTCGGAGCGGTACACCCGATTGGGACATGTACGATTGGGACATGTCCAGCGCGGAATGTACCCTGATCACGTGACACCACATACTAGGCACATGAGAATGCTCTTCACATTTTTGTTTACCACAAATGTTTTAGAATCCAGGTGGTGTACTGTTCGTACCCTCAAAATAATGAAATATACGAATTTGGCGAATCTGGGCCCGAGGGACGCGCCCCACGCCATGTCTTTTTGGGCCTCGGTTTTCCCTCGGTAGCTTCCAGTTGGCGCTTCTGGCAGTTGCTTTGTGGGACGTTCCCACACGGTTGAAAGCGGTTTGTGAGGCACCGATCGTGATTGAAAGCGCTGTGTCCCTTGAAGTGCTGCCACTTGACTTACCAAATGTTGTGCTCCGGCATACCCGACGGCCGAGCCTCCAGGCTTGCCCTTCAGGTTCCTTCCCCGAGGTTCTGACTGGAGGCTCGAATGGACCCTCCCTCTCCACCACACAAGGTGCATCTCCCATCCCATTCGTCCCACTCACTCACTCACTCGCGTTATCTGAAAAGCCTGGCCGGTTGTCACTGGCTGTTATGTCGTCACAACTGCGCTGCGTGGTAGAGTCGTGCCGGCTTCGCAACAGTTCCCCTTGCGTGCGTGGGAACGTCATGGTCTTGTTACACGTAAGCTCGTAGAACAGGTTCCATCTGACGGACACGTCATTACCGTGTGGAAGGTGTTGCATACCTTGTGGATTCCCGCTCGTAGTACGACGTTACCCCATCGATCCTCCATTCCATCTGCCCACCAGTAACGACATGTCAGATAACTACAAGCAAGGGACGCGCGGAAACAAAGCACTTTCGGCACAGCCAGTGCACTGTAAAGCGACAACATCTCCTGCACGTTCCACATGTTCACGACCAGGCTGGCGGACAGCTGGCTTTTGCCGACGACGCGAAGCGACGCGGTTCGGGCATACATCGCTTTTGGCTTTTCGCTTGTTCGGTTCGTCCCATCGCTTATGGGACGATATCACATCGCACTTTAGATCGGACGGTGAACGAAACGACAGGTCAGATGGCAGATAAGATTTACTGGCATCGAGTGACGGATCGGACGGGCTTAGCTCCTCATGCGAGCAAGGCTCGCTACACCTCACACGAGCAGATTGTGACGGTTTCACTTATGACCAAACAATTCCCGGAGTCCTGGCGGCCGCCGCGGCACGGCGGTCCAGTAGCCCGTCCAGGTGCATCCCAGGGCGGCCAGGGGATGCTGGAGACTCCCGGGGCTCGGAGCCCCTGCCTGAGAGCCGCCGCCGTTGGCTCTGTCAAACCGCAAACCAACTTGACTCTTCCAAGTCGCAACCACCCCACCGTACGGATGCACCAGGCATGGAGATAAAGTGTCACTCCTTGCTCTCTTTCCATCGTTAACTCGAAGCCAAGAGGCTTCCCAAGCTAGTAGTACTCTCACTACTACCAAGATGGCGCCGCAACGCGCCTTGCCTCTCGCAGGAGGCGCGGCGACTCCACTGCCTGAGCGCCTTGGTGTCATGGTGCCGCTGCTGCTGCTTCTGCTCTTCACCACCGCCGCCACCACAACCACCCTGGCGGACCCGCGCCTTCCGCCCTTGCCGGAAGGCTGCCACCGCTTCGGCCTCCGCTTCTGCAGCATCTTGCGCGCCGTCTCCTCCCTCGCTGCCAGGGCCACAGGCCGTCAGCAGGCCGCCGCTGGTAACCACCAGCGTGGCGAAGCTGCTGGCTCGTCGCGGCCTCAGCAGGACCCTACGAATCCGAGTCGATACTCTGGCTACGCTGGAGGCGAGGGCGACGAGACCAGCATTGGCGTCGGCGGTACTACGGCCGTCGCCCGTGCCGGTCCCCGCAACGGTCTCAACCGTCGCAGCAGCAGGCGTGCGGCGTTGTCGACGGTGGTTGCGCCTCTGGCGACGTGCTCCGCGTCGACGCTCTCCGGCTACACGTCGTCAGTCGCCCTCGGATCACTGTACGCATCATCCCTGGATTCTCTCCCTCGCCTTGTCCCTCTCCTCGCTCCTTTTCGTCCCTCGCCGCAATCCGCTGACTTGCTCGCGCATCCCATCCCCCCCCTCCCTCCCCCTCCTCCCCCCCCTTGGCCATGGGGGCAGCATGAAGCTGCACGAGCATGAAGCGCATCCCATCCCCCCCCTCCCTCATCCCTCTTCTTTCCCTCTCCTCATCCCTCTTCTCTCCCTCGCCTCATTTTTTTTTTCCCCTCGCCTCATCCTTCTTTTTTCCCTCGCCTCATCCCTCCTGTCTCCCTCGCCTCATCCCTCTTCTTCCCCTCGCCTCGTGCGTGCTGACTTGCTCGCGCATGCCGTGCCATGGGCCCTCCACCCGTGCCACATGGGGGCAGCATGAAGCTGCACTGGCAGGTGACGAGCGGCTCCACCATCCAGCTGGCAGTCACGGCGTCAGGCGCCGCCATCACGGGGTGGTTCGGCATGGGCTTCGGAACAGCGCTCAAGATGTTCCCCGCAGACTGCGTGATTGGCAACCAGGCGGCCACGCCCATTCCTGTGGGCACCTACAACTCCTCCAGCTACTCCTCCGTCAAGCTCACCACCGCCTTCACCATTGGCAGCAAGGCCTATACCACCTCCGGGACCACCGCCACCATGACCTTCACGCGTACCACCGGGGATGGTGGCGCGGTGCCCGTGCTCGTCAGGGGCGTCAACAACATCATCTGGGCCTACAGCGGCTCCTCCACCTCCGTCGGCAGCCACAGTACTAGGTGCGTGGAGCTTTCTGTCTACTTCTCTCTTTCTCTTTCTATGCTCTCTTCCCTTCCCTCCACCTCAGTCTACCCCGCTCTCTACCTCTCTCTCAACCTCTCACACTACGTCTCTCTTCTCTACCTTTCTCCACCTCTCTCTCTACCTGGTCCATGGTATCTACCCCTTGCTTCTCCTCTTTATCCCCCCTCTCTCTCTCGTCGATGGTCTTTATCTTCTCCCCTCTCCTCATGTACCCACCCCTTGCCTCGCCTGTTCTTTTCCCCACGCCCGTGTCCATCTCTCTTTCTCGCCAGGGGAACAGTCACAGCCGACTTCTCCTGCAATGGCACCCCTCCACCTCCGCCACCCCCCTCTCCTCCGCCACCTCCTTCCCCTCCGCCGCCTCCTAGACCCCCACCCCCGCCTTCTCCTCCCCCCCCGCCTTCTCCTCCGCCCC